AGCCCTGCATGACCCTCCCAGGCCCTGTCCTACATGTATCCTTTATAATAATACTGTAATCATAAGTATAGGACTATCAGTGAGTTCTGTGAGTTAATCTAACAAATTATTGAACCTGAGGGAGTCATGTCAACTCCTAAATTTACAGCCTGTTGATCACAGAAATGTCGGTGGCTCCCAAGACTTGCTAACGATGTCTGAAGTGAGGGCAGTCTTGTGGAGGACTTTGCCTTTAACTCATGGGATCTGGCGCTAACTCCAGGTAGTGTCAGAATTGAAATGAATTGCAGGACACCCAGTTGCCAGTGGCTGAACAAAGTAAAGAAGAGGCTTCTAGAAGTCACATCTAGTATCAGCAAGAAAGACTGCTGTGATCAATCAGAAATGTCTGCCATGAAAGCAGAGTTATGCAGGAGTAGCATGTGTGTCACATAACTGCCATCCTTGTAATGTCATCAATGAAGTTTTTGTACCAAAAATTAACAAACTCACCCAACGGTAGGAAATTAAGTGTTTCAACATACCTGGTAGGCAGCTTTTCAAAGTCAACATCTAAGAATTGTTCATAGTTAGAAACAAAATTGTCCAACCACAGCTTCAGGTAATCTGGATCTTTCTGAAATAAGAAAACCATTTTAATATTAAGTACATCTTTCAGGAATTTTTTTAAAAAATGCTTTTACTCCTATTGAGCAGATATGAATTGGTAAATCTAAAGAAGCAATAATATGAAATCTCTAAATGATATACAGAAGACATATGTGTTGTTTTAAAATGTATACTAAGTATAGTGAACCCATGGCATTCACACAAAGAGCTACAATCTGAAAAATGTCCTATAAGATTCTAAACAATTTGCCCTCCCCTATCTCTGTGGCCTTATCCACTGTCACCCTGTACTATACTGGCTTCCTGGCTGTTACCGGGACACACCAGACATGCTCCCATCTCAGGCCTTTGCAATGGCTGTTTTCTCTACCCAGGACACTCTTCCACCAGATAGCTGAATGGCTAATTCCTACATCTTCAGGTCATTCTTTAAATGGCTTATTCTCAATGAAGCCAAATTTTACCACCCTTTCTTAAAGTTACAAATCTTCTCACTAACCTTTACCTTCTACCCTATTCTGTTGTCCCACCTCATGGTGCTTTCTCACCTTCTAACATACTGCATAATTTATTTATTTATTAATTTATTATCTGTCATTTCCCCTAGACTGTAGGCTTCACAATTTCAAGGCCTATCTAAGGGCCCACCACAAGTGATTTCTTTTTACTAATGGGCACCAAGTGCCTAAAACAGTTCCTGGCATTGACCAGGTGCCCAATGAATTAATGAAAAATATAAAATGCATAAATAAGATAAAATGGGAGATGGATCATTAACCTAAACATAAAAACTAAAAAATCGTCTAAAAGAAAATACAGAATACCTTTGCAACCTTGGGGTAGACAAAGATTTATTAGCTAGGACACAAAAATCACAAAGCAAAAAAAGAAAATAATAATAATTCGTCTTAACCAAAATTTAAAACTTTGATTCATCAGAAGACACCATTAAGAAAATGAAAAGGCAAGCCATATGCCAGCTGAAAATATTCTCAGAACATATATCTGACAAAGGACTTGTACCAAGAATATATAAAGAACTCCTATGAATCAATGTAAATAGGACAACAACTCAATTTAAAAATGAGCAAAAGGTTCAGACATTTCACAAAAGATACACAAATGGCCAAGTAGCATGCAAAAGCATTCTCAACGTTATTAGTTATCGAGGGAAATGCAAATTAAAATGAAATGGAATACCATTACACAACCACCAGAATGGCTAAAATTTAAGACTTTCCATACCAACTGTTGGTAAAGATGTGGAGTAACGAACTCACATTTCTGGTGGGAGTATAAAATGGCATAATCACTTGGAAAACAGTTTGGCAGTTTCTTTTAAACATAAATTTACCACATGGCCCAGTCATTCCTCTTAAGAGAAGTGAAAACATATATCCACAAAAACAAGTTGTACAAAAATGTTCATAGAAGATTTATTTTTAATAGCCCAAAACTGGAAACAAACCAAAATTCTATCAACAAGGTTAACTGATGAATTGTGGTATATTCACACAATGGGATGCTATTCTGCAATAACAATGAATGAACTGTTGATAGGACAATGAACAGAAATTTCAAAAACATGTTGAGCAAAAGACGCCAGGCATTAAGCATATACACTGTGTGATTTCACTTATACAAAGTTCTAGAGCAGGCTATGGTGACAGAAATTAGATCACTGACTGTCTTTCAGAGGACTGACTACAAAGGGGCACAAAGACAACTTTCTTAGATAATAGAAATTTTCCATTTGTTTTATTACGTAGTAGTGACACAAATGTTTGCTTGTATCAAAACTCATCAAATTTGACACTTAAAATCTGTGCTTTTTTTTTTTAGAAGATGTTGGGGGTAGTTTATTAATTAATTATTAATTATTTTTGCTGTGTTGGGTCTTCATTTCTGTGCGAAGGCTTTCTCTAGTTGTGGCAAGCGGGGGCCACTCTTCATCGCGGTGAACGGGCCTCTCACTATCGCGGCCTCTCTTGTTGCAGAGCACAGGCTCCAGACGCTCAGGCTAAGTAGTTGTGGCTCACGGGCCTACTTGCTCCACGGCATGTGGGATCCTCCCAGACCAGGGCTTGAACCCATGTCCCCTGCATTAGCAGGCAAATTCTCAACCACTGCGCCACCAGGGAAGCCCAAAAATCTGTGCATTTTAAGGTCTGTAAGTTACATCTCAAAGATGATTTGAAAAAAACCATGATTCCTCAGAAATATCTTTTTAAATATAAATTGCATCATTAAAAATGGGCTTCCCTGGTGGCCCAGTGGTGGAGAGTCTGCCTGCCGATGCAGGAGACACAGGTTTGTGCCCCGGTCCGTGAGGATCCCACATGCCGCGGAGCGGCTGGGCCCGTGAGCCATGGCCGCTGAGCCTGCGCGTCCGGAGCCAATGATGCTCAAATTTGTTTCCTTCACCTCATTAACACTTTTTTACTCCAGTCAATTTCAACATGATATCAGGAGTCTTACTTACTCATTAAATAACACTGGTTAGGTACTGCTCTTGGATAAAGGGAACTCAAATTATTTATTTCCCTAAAATAAAAGCATTACACACAAATCAGAATTCCTAAAAGAATTGTTGAAAGAATACGCAGACTGCTAACCTTTTGTGTATTTTTTCTATTAATATACTGCTACAAAATCAGATCACAAATTGTTATAATCCACATCATCCCTAAGACAGAAATATTTCAGAAAAAGAACTACCTCTTGTGAGAAATTTTCTCAAGGATTTCATTAATTGCTTTTTTCATTTCCAACCAGCACTTCATTCATTCATTCATTCATTCATTCATCATGATAAGACTCCAGAAATACAGGTAGCTGGAGTTTTCCTTATCATGGTTCCTTTTTAATAAACTAGAGTTTTAATAAACTCTGTAAAAGTTCAGCACAAAACAGTTTATAATGCCATAAAGAATTAATGTATTTCTCCTCATAGTTTATTTAGAAATTCTACCATATCTAGTTCAAAGTCTGAAAGTCAGAGTTACCAAGTGTTTGGTAATTCAGAGTTTGTTAAGTACAGAGTTCTCCCACGAAGTTGAGCAACTAACTATAAAGAAAGAAATGGTACTTAAGGCTGGAAATGTTTTATTTAGTAAGAAGTGAAGCATTTTTTTTTGAGATTCTGCAATGCGCAAAGTATTATAGCAGGTATTTTAAAAGTATACATCATCCCATTTACTCCTTACAACCATCTAGAGGTTTCATTTTCCCCATTTTACAGGTTAGAAAAGCAAAATTCTAAGGATATATAACTTATCCATAGTCATACAGCTAGCCATCAATAGTGCTGGGATTAAAATGCAAAGATACATGAATCCAACTGTGCTCTACTACACTACACTACACTGTCTTTGAACTGTGAGCAGGAATAAAATGGAGCTTAGTGGACAAAAAGAGGAAAAGAGGAACTAAGGATCAGTAAACTCAAGGCCATAAACAATTTAACACATAAAACAGCCACATTCCACACAGCCTGAGAAAACCCTCAAGAAGATTTATACTTTACTGCCAAAGGCCATAAAAGGAAAAATGTCCACACACCCAGAAACAATATTAATTAAATCTCAAGCTTAGCCACTTTCATGGTTAAGAGAGTTGGATACAATGAAACACCACAGTAGGGTCTATCTCTCCATTTGTATGATATTTATTAACACAACACACAAATGTATTAAGTACTACAGGAGCACTGAGGCCAGATTATATGGATTCTAACCCCTGCTCTGTCACTTTCTTGAACAAGTCACCCTATGTTTGCACAACAGTTTCTTCTATAAAAATGAAGATAATGATAGTACTTTCTTTACAGGGTTGTGAAAATTAAATAACCTAGTCAAGGGCACATAGTATATGCTAAGTATAATGTTACTTTTTTTAAAGTTATTAATTTATTTTTAAATTTATTTATTTATTTATTTACTTATTTACTTATGGCTGCATTGGGTTTTCGTTGCTGCGCATGGTCTTTCTCTAGTTGCGGCGAGCGGGGGCTACTCTTCATTGTGGTGCACAGGCTTCTCACTGCAGTGGCTTCTCTTGTTACGGAGCACAGGCTCTAGGCACACGGGCTTCAGTAGTTGTGGCACATGGGCTCAGCAGTTGTGGCTCACAGGCTCTAGAGCACAGGCTCAGTAGTTGTGGCGCACAGGCTTAGTTGCTCCGCGGCATGTGGGATCTTCCTGGACCAGAGATTGAACCCGTGTCCCCTGCATTGGCAGGCAGATTCTTAACCACTGCACCACCAGGGAAGTCCCTAATGCTATTTTTATAACCTATTATGTGCCTAAATTATGGCTCACTCACAAAACAGGAATGTTCCATGCTACACATACACATTTAAATATTTCAAGATCCCCTGTGCCACATGATTTTAACTGTATTCTTTTCCTTTCAAATCTCTGCATTTGCTCTCAGTATAACTTTGGGGAAGTTACTTCATCTCTCTGATCTGTTCTTGATCTATAAAATGAAGGTAATACTTCCCTTCATAGGGCTGTTGAAAGCACTGAATGAGATAATACATGTAAGGCACTCAGCAATACCTGACATTTAGCAAATGCTCAATAAAATAAGCAATTATAAAATAATTAAAATCAACTTTATTGATCTTGTACTCAAATATTCATCCAATCATCTGCCGTTAAGACAGTCCTTCATTTGGACTGTTATGTAGCTCCCTACAGGTCTCTGTAGCTTCAGTTTCTCTCACCTACACACAGTTACTAATGGGGTTTGTTAAATTTGAGTCTAATCATCTTTTCTCTCCTGTTCAAATACTTTCAACGTCCCCCCATTACCAGAGGACGAAGTCTAAACACTTAGATGTGCTGTCCAGTGCAGTGACCACTAGCCGAATGTGATTATTTAAATTACATTAAAGCACAGGAGGCTTTTACCTTCTTATAACATCCACTCCTCCACTGGGAGGCTTTAGTGGGTAACAGAATTAAGGGATCCATACAATTTCACCTAGTTCTTATGGGCTAG